GCGGACGAGCGCATGCCGCTAAGCGACTGTGGACCATACCAGACGGTGAGCTTGTAGGAGGTTCTTTTGTGCACACAACGCCGGCTTCATCAACCTGAAAGCGATCGCTTCTATTGTTGCTAGCAGGCGCTGACCCAAGGACTTTGGATAGTTTGGTGGAACCTTGTAGATCACCCGGAATGCTTCCTTGGGATCCATCCGATATCCGGAATCGACCATTTGCACCAGAACAGAACTGTTTAGGCTCCTGACTTTACCTTTTCTCACCCATGCCGGGAGATGTTCCTTTATTCTTTTGGATAGGGGACGGCTCGTGCGACAAATATAACCTACTCCACAGGACCAAGTAAATGAATAGACGCCCATGGAGGTGGTCAGAGGTGGTAATCTATCATTATCTTCCCCATGTAAGACCGGGTTGGCTGAGAATAACACCCGAACTCTCGCTGCTGGGAAGGTTCGTGACACGACTTAGCCAAGACGACTTTTCAGGAGTTCACTTGCCACGTCCCCTCGAAAGAGGACTTCGAGGAATACTGTTTTCTTTTCCACAGTAAGTGTAATGGGTTTTATTTGTTTCGCAGCCATATTCCCTGTAATAAATTTCTCCGCACACCCATTCTCACGAAGTAGGTCCTGAATTTTCTTGAGCTCCTCCTCAATATTGTCTACTGAGCAAATTTTTCTAGCCCTTTGCACTAAGCAGCGAACTAGATTTCGTTTCTGTTGAAAGGCGTACGAAACTGTTTAAGTTCGTATACTGCCCAGACAAGGTTTTCTTTCGCTAAACGCTCCTTCGGACACCACCGTCAGGTCTGCGACTTGGGAGGATGTCCAAGATTGGAAGCGAACCTGCCGCTTCCTCCTCCAACGTGAATTTAATGGATTGATGTGCTTGGTTGACTGCATTTAACAGCGTGCCTACATCGATTTCGGTTGCGGTGATTGCGAAGAGGTTATCAAAGTAGCAACCATAGTGTTTTAACTTGTGGAATTATCTGTTGGAGATGAGTTGTCCTGACGTACCGCACTTCACACGATTTCAGCAGTGGCACGTTACTAAACCGAGAGTAATCCGGTTTTTCGGCGTATGTTCAATTTTTTTTAATAATCCTCTATAATAGTTCCTCAGCCTTTATTACTTTCTACGATTGGCTCGTACGTCTCCGTCTTCTAGCTGTCGGTTTCTTTCTGTTATATTTATAAATCACATTGAAAGTTTATTTTCCGGCTAGCAGAGAGACGGTGTCTTCAGGTTACTCACAAGGTGTGTGGCTATGCTAGTTCGACTATCGATTTCGATGAGGTCCACCATATGCCCAAGAGCAAGAATGGTGACTGGAGACAAAGACGAGAGTTAAATGAAATGGACGTACAGCCGTCTACCTCACTCTAAACCCTTACCCGGTTGAACCAGTGACAAGACAAAGTCGAGATAGCCGAACGGGCTCGGGCTCAGGCCGATTCCTCCAAGGCGGGCTTTGGTTTCCGCCCTCTTACCTCTGTCCGACAAAAGCTGTGTCAAATTTTACGAAGTCTGGACTAGGATACTGCTGCTAG